TCAGTTTTACAGATGAGGACTCTGGGCCCAGAGATAGTTGGTGATAATCCTTAGGTTCCCCAGCCATCTCAGCAGCAGAATAAAGACTTGCAGTTCCTATGGACTGATCAGCTGCCATTCAAGTAATGGAAAGTCACACTTATACTGAGCTTGCAGTCAACTCATACTTCTAAATCTAAGATATTTCATTTGTTGATTGAGAAAAACCCCAGAGAATACTCACCAAGATGTTCTCATTGGTTATATAATCTCTGACTGGAGGCATTTTAGGTGATTTTTACTTTCCTTTGTTCTATATTATTTAAATTTCCTTAACATGGCATGTATTATTTTTACAGTCAAAACACTGTTAAGGTACAGAGCGAGGAGCAGAAACCAGATTCTCTTAAGGGCAAGTGGGTTAAAAAAGCAAAAGAGGAGAAAAAAAAAAACCACTTTACAAACCAAATCCAGTCCTACTATTGGTTCAAAATTATAGTGAATTAAAGCACTCCAATTATCTGAGCCTTAGTTTCCTCAACTGTCAATGGGAGTATTAATGACCTCATCAGAGTAATGATTAATAGGCATATTATTAGGAACATTTTGCTGGAATTGCAGTTGTCTCTTCCTGGCAGTGTATAACCTTAGAAAAGTCACTTTACAACTGTGCGGTCAATGTTTTCTCCAGAAAAACGGAGTGAATAAAACCCTCACAAAGCTGATGTGAAGACTGACTAAAATAAGGTATATAAAGCACATGTCACAGAACTTGGTATTCAGTCAACGATAGCCTTAATCTGTTACCATTGAGTCAATTCCGACTCATGCAACCCCGTGTGATAGAGTAGGACTGTTTCGTAGGGTTTTCTTGACTGTAATCTTTATGGAAGTAGCTTGCCAGGCCTTTCTTCCATTGTGCTGCTAGGTGGGTTTGAATAGATTAGTGGTCAAGTACAAATTGTTTGTACCAACCTGGGACTGTCAATAAATGAGAAAATATTGAATTTGTCAAGGATTTCATTTTACTCGGATCCGCAATCAAAGCCCATCAAAGCAGCAGTCAAGAAATCAAACAACGTATTCCATCAGGCAAATCGGCTGCAAAAGACCTCTTTAAAGTGTTGAAAATAAAAAATGTCACTTTGAGGACTAAGGTGCACCTGTCCCAAGTCATGGTATTTTCAGTCACCTCATATGTATGTGAAAGCTGGACAGTGAATACGGAAGACTGAAGAATCGATGCCTTTGAATTATGAGATTGGTGAAGAGTATTGGATAGACCATGGACTACTAGAAGAACAAACAAGTGTATCTTAGAAGTACAGCCAGATTGCTCCTTGGTAGGAAGGATGGGAAGACTGTCTCGTGTACTTTGGACATGTTATCCAGGAGGGACAAGTACCTGGAGAAGGATATCATGCTTGGTAGGGTAGAGGGTCAGCAAAAAACAGGAAGACTTGAGACGGATTGACACAGTGGCTGCAACAATGGGCTCAAGCATAGCAACAATTATGGTGCCCGACCGGGCAGTGTTTCATTCTGGTCTGCGTAGAGTCACCATGATTCAGAACTGACTCCACTGCACCTAACAACAACTCTTACTGATTTCTAATATCAGTTTAGTTAATAGTGTCATTTTTGTTGCTATCACATGTTTATTGTGTGAACCAAATTATAACTTCAAATCTAAGTTATTATTAATACTGCTATTATTTTTAGGTACCACTGGAAATAATATCTTAACAAGGATGATCAACTCCAAAGACATTAAATGGTGTAAGGTAGAGGCTTACACCAATTATCAATTCTTCATTTCTTCCTTCATGGCACAATCCCAACATAACGTCAATTCTATGACATATTTCAGCCTCTCTTGCCATTAGGTGGAATCATATAACAGCTTCCTGGCCAGTGAGATGTAGGGAAGAGTATAATGTGAGATTTCTGGCAAGTCTATTTAAAGAGAGCTAAAGCAACTGGGAGGGAAGCCATTTTACCTTTTTTCCTATTCTTCCCTGCTGCTTGGATGCCATTATAATGGTAGGAACTGCAGCAGCCATTTTGGTCTAAGAGGTAATCTTGGAATGGTAGCCTTGCATGGCAGAGGAGAAAGACTGAAGGAGTCTGAGTCCCTGATGGACTACAGGTAGCAACATCCTAATCCTGGACTACCAACCACCAGTCTTCTTTTATGTGAAAGAATAAATCCTTATATCTTTAAGTCCCTTTATTTATTTTTGTTCCTAGCATCCAAATATAATTCCTATGTGATATAATCTCTCTACTTAGCACTTTGACATAATTTCTCTTATTGGACATGGAGTACTTTGAACAATATTGTTCCTCCCTGGCAGATTTCTCTATTATGATACAAAAAAGCAAGCTGACTTAAATTTAACTTAATTGTTGAGCAAATCAACAAACAAAAACCTTCATTGTAAGGGTAAATACAAATGCATGTTGTTCCTTGACATGCATTTTCGGCTTATTTGGAAGAAATAGTTTTGGAGAAAGGAATGACTGGCCTGTGAAGTAGGTTTGCTGCCTGCATTCCTTCGGCATACGGGCTCCCAGTCCAATTTCTCATCTTGTGGTTGATGCTACCTTGGTGCCAATGGAAGGGCGTGGCTGCCTGGTCTGCTGTTCAGTATGGGGTTTTCTAAGGTGGTACCAATATTTCCTTAAAGCTGTTGAGGTATTTTCCTTCAAACAGATGGTTGTAGCATGAATCTGATAAGTTCTTCATATATTTCATATACACTGACTAGATAAATGCCACAGAGGATATTTTGTTTCTCCAGAATACAAAGAAAACTGAGTATTTTTTTCCTCTACTAAAATGTACTTTGTCAAGCAGGTCATGTTAGTTTACATAGCAGAAAAAGAGGAAAATGTAAAAATGTGCCATCTAACTGATATTAAAACACACACACAAAACAGCTGCCCTTTAAATGCTCCATTGGCCTCTAAGATCAGGTGCGGGCTGAATTAAGAGCATTGGGATAATTGACCTTCCGTGTGAATAAATTAGAATAGATTAGATTTGACTGACCACATAACAATTTAAATAATAAAAAAGCCACTTTCTTTTTCTAGGCTACTTTGTGGTGTTGGGTCTCAGAGGTGATTAACCATGTGTTTTTCTTGTTGGAAGACTTTCCTAAACACAAGCTAACGGACTAAAACGGAGACTGTAATATTGTGCCTTTTTTTAAATTGAAGGACTCAAAGGAACATATGACAGACGGAGCTGTTTAAAGACATTCTAGAAGGGCAGCATACTTAGAATGTTTAAAATGCATTGAACCTTGCCTTCCAGACTTGTGGGGTCGATCTTGGGATTCTGATTTCATGGGCAGTTGGGATGTGATGTTCTCAGGGTATTTTTTGCTTTTCTGACCTTTACTCCAAGGAGCCCTGGTGGCACAGTGGTTAAGGGCTTGGCTGCTAACTGAAAGGTCGGCGGTTAGAACCCACCAGTGGCTCTGCGGGAAAAAATGTGGCAGCCTGCTTTCATAAAGATTACAGCCTAGGAGACCCTGTGGGGCAGTTCTCCTCTGTCCTATAGAGTTGCAATGAGATGGCAGTGGGTTGGGATCTTTGCTCCATTGTGTATGTGTCTGTGTGTGTGTAAGTGATACGTGATGAAGACCACCATGTATCTGTAGTAAACACAGGACTACTAGTTTAAGCAGAGTCATAGAGCTAAAAAGGGCCTTAGATAACCCAGTGAGTTTACAGTAAGGAGATGCAAGGCCAGTAATAGGAAATGCCCTGTCCTCAGATCAGAAACAGCCCTGATGTATGTTGGATGGTATGAAAAATTGTTCTTATACAGAGAAACCCTAGTCCTAGCCCCTGCGCTCGCTGATATTTGGACTTATTACTTAAACTCTTCTATAGAAAGAGGATATCGTCAGTACCTTTTTCTTAGGATTGTTTTGGGATTGAAGTGAGATAAATGCCTAAAAAGCACCACTTGGGTTATTATTGCTATATAGCAAACCACCCCGAAACTCAGTGGCTTAAAACAATGACCTTTTTATTTTCTTACAATTCTGCCAAAGGGGCTGGGATCAGCTGGGCGGTCCTTCCACTGTTGTAGTCGGTGTTTACTCACGGGAGTGCATTTGGCTGGCAGGTCGGCTAGCGGCTGGGCTCAGCTGTGATGCTGGAGCGGCTGGGCTTTCCCACCATTTCCATATTATTTCCAGACCTCTCCCGCTTCCATGTGACATCTCCACACAGCCTCTTCATATGGCCTTTCCAGCTCAGTGACCAGACTTCAGGGCTTCCAAAAGGACAAAGGCAGAAACTGCCAGGGCTTTTCAAGGCATAAGCCTGGAACTCATGCAGTATCTCTTTTGCCACATTCTAGTGGTTAAAACAAGTCCAAGGCCCAGCCAAGACTCAAGGGGAGGGGACTACACTAGGGCATGCATAAATGTTGACGTGGTTCATTGGGGGACCCTAATGTAACAGTGACTACAACAGCGGGCACAAGCATAACAACAATTGTGAGGATGACACAGGACCAGGCAGTGTTTCGTGAAATTGTACTGTACGTAGAGTTGCTGTCGACTCAGTGGCACCTAACAACGACAGCAACAATGTAACAGATGAGCACAAGCACACAGCACTGCGTCTGGCACATGGTGAGGACCTGTAAAATGCTGTTTGCTCTCTTTTGATGTAATAATAGTACTGCTAGCTGTTTTTGTTGTGCTACTGTTGTTGTTATGCATAGGCATAGATGGAAAACGATTTATATACAAGTTTTGAAAGATCAAATATAATTTTGTTGTATATCTCTTAGTTTAAATCTATATCATCGTTATCCACAGTTTTCCTGAGAGATCTACTGTAAAAGTATAGATGGGAAAAAAATTTTTTTTCATTAGGTGGTAAATCAATTCCCTAACTCAGTGGGTTTTGTTTTTTTTTTTTTGGTTTTTGGTTTTTGGTTGTGTATATGAATCAACTTAGTGATCTTATTAAAATGCTGATTCTTATTCAAGCAGGTCTGGGTTGGGGCTGAAGATTCTGGATTTCTAATAAGATCCAAGGTGATTTTGATGCTGCTGTTATAGGAAACCATACTATGAGAAGGAAGGTTCTAGTCTACAACTCAACAGACCCTGGTCTCGACAACTAGCAACATCTGAAACTGAAGATTGCTTGAGGCACCAGGCCTTCATTAAGAGCAAGTCATTGCATCATTTTGTGGAGGATATTTGGGAAATGTTTGGATGTGATGAGTTTTCCATGTCTGATGGTCATATAATGTGATTGTGTGACTACTTGAACTTTTTCCTTTTTTCAAAATTCTTTTCTTTAGAAAATTATGCATTCACAATTTAAAAATTTCAAAGAATACATAAAGGTATAAAGAAGAAAAGGAAAGTAACCTGGAATCATTCACAGTGGCATTAAGATTTTGGTGTGTATATTCCCAGACTTTTCATTTTAATTTTTTCCCCCAAACATTTTTTTCTCTCTGGCAAGTATGTGTATTTGCTTTTAAATAGTCACAGCTGAAAGTCTTCTAGAATATTCCAAGTTTAGTTGTTTTACTTGAGAGAGAGAAAAAGATACCATGATGTATTTTTGCAAATGTATTTTAAACTTTGCGTTATTTATAGTCTGTCCTTAGAAGCTTGAAATTAAAATCTCTTTCCTTACTGATTTTGATTCTTTCTTGTCTGACTTACACTGATTTCACCTTCCTGTGTTTCTGATGAAGCCTGAAATTGCCATACCCTTATTTGAGTGTAGTTTTTCCTTTGCCCTCACATACTGTGGACAACAGAACAACCCAGTTTCTTTTATCAGCCACTATCTCATCCTTCTATCTATACTCTATCCAGTGTTCCAGAAAACTGTTGAATGAGGGTTTATGCTGTCACTGAGTTTGCAAATACCTTGTTCTGTAACATTTGAGGAGCATTTATTTCCTCCGTAGAGGAGCTCGTTGTCCCGGTGGCTTCTCTGGTCTTCCTTCTGTAGGACCTGCCTATATCACGGCCCTTGCATATAATGGGCCATGTATTTTTGTTGGATTATTTGGTAATGAGGGCAATGAGTCCTATGCAGTTTAACTTAAGATAGTTACTGGGGAGGAGGACTGACACCATGGTCACGCGGGTACCACAAGTCCCACACATGGTTGCACCTAGCTGATAAAATTTCTTTTTAAAAAACCATTGCCATCAAGTTGATTCTGACTCATAGCAACCCTATCGGACAAAGTAGAGCTGCCCCCTCGAGTTTCCAAGGAGTAGCTGATGAATGTGAACTGCCCACCTTTTGGTTAGCAGCTGAGGTCTTAACCACTACCCACTAGGGCTGATAGGGAGGCTGAAAAATGCCACAAAATTGACGTGCTCTTGAGATTCTGCTGCTAAGGAAGAAGTCAAGAATTAGTATTAGTTATCCTAGTATCTTTTGCCTTATACCAATTACTAATGTCTTTGGAATGAATCATCCCGGATTGAGAAATTATTAGAAGTAGAAGTTTAGCTAAAAATAACAATCATGGTAATAATACCTTAAATTTGAGGAGAACTGGGCAAAGAGCACACCAAATACCCTCAGGACAAGGTGAGAGAGGCACGGGGAAAACCTGGGAGCTTGTGCATTCTCAGTGCTGTTAGAACACTGGGTAGGAGAATGACCGTGGGAAGGCCTGCTCTTTCAGGGCCAAATCTTTGTTCCACATTTTTTCACTTTCTCTGTCACATTCCCTAAGAAGGTGTCTGTCCCATCAATGATTCCTCCGCCCAGTAGCTGGAGCCCATGATAGTATATTTTGATTGTAGTAGTTATCCTAATATTGAGAATTATAAAAATTGAAATTGTTCAAGTTAGAAAGTTAATTTCTGCACATTCTCCCCACCAAAATTATGTTACATTTTTAATATATGTCACTTTAGAGCATTCCATTTTTAGGAGCAGGAAGAAATTAAAAATCTTTTTTCCTCCAATCTGATTTTAGGGGGGAAAAAAGCTCTCTTTTTAGTCAGAGGATTTGACTGAGTTGTTTAGGCAAAAATATGAAAGGTACTTACAGTGATTTATACCCCTAATCCCAAGTGTATGTCAAGGGCAAAACAATACTTTATATACAGGAGGCTGGACCAACATGATCTTTATTTACCCAAAAGATGGGGAGGATGAGCTAGAGGTCTCTGCAATGTCTTCTTTACCTGAATGATCCACCGGTTTTAAGTTATGAATATAAAAATACTTGTTGACCTATAAAATAAACAATAACACTCATGAGGAAACGTGCTCATTAGAACAATCAACTATGCGAGACCAAACAGGCAGCATTTGCCCAAAAGCAAAGATGGGAAGACAAGGAAGGGCAGGGAGATTAGGGGGATGGAAACGGGACAAGCGGAGTGGAAATAGGGAGTGTGCTGACACATTGAGGGGATAGCAACCAATGTCACGGAACAATTTGTGTATAAATTGTTGAATGGGAAACTAATTTGCTATGTAAACTTTCACCTAAAACACAATAAAATGTTGAAAAGAATATTTTAAAAAAAACAAACTTGCTACTATTCAGAGGTAAAAGGAATCAGATGTATATGGAAATGGAAAACTTGAAATAAGTAAACCTGTTTGGGTCGTGATGACATAGACCCAAAGAACTGCATGCAATGCATGAACCTTGAATGGATCTCGATTTGAGTGTGTGTCAATAATACATTCTTGAGATACTTAGGGGAATTTCACTATGGACTGCATATTAGATAATAGTGTTGTTGTTGTTAGTTGTCACGTCATCTTCGAGTCATGGTGACCCAATGTACAACACAACAAAATGCTGCCCAGTCCTGTGTCATCTTTACAATCATTGGCATGCGCAAGTCCTTTGTTGTGGCCACTGTGTATTCTGAGTGCCTCCCAACCTAGGGGCTCATCTTCCAGCACTGTATCGGACAATGTTCTGTTGTGATCTATAGGGTTTTCATTGGCTAATATTCAGAAGTAAATCGCCAGGTCTTTCTTCCTGGTCTGTCTCAGTCTGGAAGCTCCACTGAAACCTGTCCAACATGGGTTACCCTGCTGGTATTTGAAATGCCGCTGGCATAGCTTCCAGCATC